AAACAACAAACCAAGGAAGCAAAAACTAACAAACCAAGATTCTATAGGTTGGAAGCTAACATACTTCATTAAACCTTTCACAGTTCTTGAAGATCAAACGAACATCAGCCACAAAGTCATCTGGGATTTGGTAGTGCTGGGAATGTTTTTTCTGAAGCTTCTTTTTCACGGTGGATAAATCCATCGGTTTCTTTATAATTTTATAGTAGTTTGGTATCTAAAAAAAAAAAAAAGTAGATAAAATTCTCCAGAAATACCAATCTGTTTTATTTAAAAATGCACAGCATATTAATTTCAGGGGGAAAAATACTGATTATAGAGGCAGCTGCTCACAAATTTTGGGTAGAATGAATGTAATTTAAGCCATCTGCCCTGATCATACCATGAAAACCAAATCTTATGGAGAATATGTGCCAGTCTCCATGGTTAGTGGAAGTCCCCATCTATTTCTCTTTGGTAAGTAGATTTAGAAAGAAAGCAATCACCAAGGGTAGCCAACCAATATTTTAAGGTTCTATTTAGCTCATCAGAATTTTATGACTCTAGAATAGGTTGGGTTTTCTTTTTTCCTTTCTTAAATAAAAATAACACACACACACCCACACACACAAACAAACAAACAAACAAAACCAAAGAGAGAGCCAGCAGGTGCGTGGTTAAGGCACTGGTCAACCACATTCAAGTCCCAGACCTAGCAGCCTGAAAATTACAACAAAATAAATAGACAGATAAATGTTTGGGGGGTGGGGGAGTAAAATTTTAAATTAACAAAATTCATTAATGTTATGATTTATCATCATTTAATATCATAGGAGGTCTGGCTTAGCAACATAGAAAGATTGTTAAAACATTTAATAAAAATTTATTAACCATTTAGTAATCATGCTGAGTACTTTTGGTTCTACTCTTGGCCAAAAATATTACCCCTGGGGTATAAGTGAAAAAGAAAACATTTAAATGTCATTTTCTCCTGTGAAATCTCCAAATTTAAAGATGATATACTTTCTAAAATCAGATGATTACTACTCGTACAAAATATCCTATTGTTTAGACCCTGCGCTTTAAAATTTATTTTCAACCTAGTCAGTAAATAAGTAAGCTACCATTTAACATTCTACAATAGGCCTGGTAATGCAATATCATATATATATATTATTTATTTATTTATTTTTTGGAGAGGTTTTCACTATAGGGCACATGTGCTCACCAGACAGAGAGAGACATAGAGACAGAAAGCGAGAAATCACCCCCCCAGAGGGGATGGTCAAGCCGCAATCCCTTCTCCTCCATTCTCCTCTCGGGATCTTGGGCAGGCACGCACTCACACGCACCCGGGGTGAGTTTTAAGCCACCGGGTCCGGGACGCGAACCGCGGTCGACTACGTGGGAGTCCAGCGACATAGCCATTACACTAACTGCTGGTTCCCGGTAATGCAATATCTTATTCTACAGCTGATGGCTAGCAAGTAAAATGTATATAGCATACTTTCACCACATTCTTTAGGCACTGAGCACATCTGGTCTACCTTTTACTGTAGTTGTTATACAGCTTTTTGCTTTAGGGCATGTGCCTTCACCAGAGAGAGAAAGAGCAAGAGACAGAGACAGTGAGAAGGAAAGTGAGAAATCACTCCCCAAGGGGGATGGCCATGCTGCAATCCCTTCTCCTCCACTCTTCTCCTGGGATCTTGGGCATGCACACACACGTGCCCAGAATGAGTTTCAAGCCACTGGCTCCAGGACTCAAATCACAGACAAACATGTGGGAGTTCAGCAATGAAACCGCTACACTATCTACTGGCCCTTACAGTAGTAGTTTAGAGTCTTTATTGTTTACGAAGTCTCCCTCCTTAAGGTAAACAAAATACAATGACTTGCAAAATTTCCTAGGTGTGTTTCCTCAATCTTGACTATTCATTAAAGTGGGCTTATGATAGTAGATCCAGTGTGATACTTTCAATTACATGCTTTTATTCAAATTAATCTTCACACAGAGACTATTTTCTCCCCATGGTTCAGAAACTAGGATAATTGAACTGGATTCCTGAAAATAATTTAGCTTAATATTCCCATTATATAGTTAAAAAAAGTAAAGACTGCAAAGTATGCCATTTACCCAGTTATAAGGTTGGTTAATGATAGAACTAAGAGCTAAGTTTTCTGACTTCAATTCAATATTCTTTTCATTATCACTGCTTCCCTTATGCCAATCTTAAAAGTAAAAAAGGACACAAAAATGAAATTAATTAAATTCTCATCAGAGAAACAAAATCTTTAAAGCCAAATGGCAATTTGAACAAATTAATCCATTTAGCGCTAACAAAGTTTCAATAAATAATAAGTGCCCACTATATTATCAGATACTATGCTGAACAATATTTACAAGGTCACCATATGGCACACTGGTTAAGGTGCTAGACTCCAACATGGCCAACTGCAGTTTGAGTCCTGGACCCACAGGCTTGAAACTCATGCCAGGCACATGTGCGTGTGTGTCCAAAATCCAGAGAGGAGAATAGAGAAGTGACTGTGGCATGACCATCCCTCCAGGGGGGTGATTTCTCTCTTTTTCCCTCTCTTTGTCTCTCCAGCAAGCACACATACCTTATAGCAACAATTTTTCTAAAATAAATTTTTTTAATTTACATGTTATCTTATATAATGAGTTTTCCAAAAGTTCACAGAAAATGCACATTATGAAAAGCTATGGATAGATTCTAGGTTTTTTTCTTTTTTAAAAAATTTTTTTCATTTCATTTTAGATTCTAAGTTTTTGTATCAAAATAAAGTCATGCTCTAATTCCATTTTTCCATGAACTTTAATTAAGTCCCTTCATGTAATACTTAAAGTAACCCAGTGAAGTAAGACGTGCTATCAGAAAACTCAAGTCTTAGGGAACAGTAGTTAGCGTAATGGCTATGTCGCTGGACTCCCATGTAGTCGACTCTGGTTCGAGTCCCGGACCCAGCGGCTTAAACTCACATCGGGTGCATGTGCGTGCGTGCCCAGGATCCTGAGAGGAGAATAGAGGAGAAGAGATTGCAGTGTGGCCATCCCCCCGGGGGGTGATTTCTCGCTTTCTGTCTGTCTCTTTCTGGTGAGCGCACGCACCCTATAGCAAAAACCTCTCCAAAAAAAGAAAAGAAAAGAAAACTCGAGTCTTAGAGAAGTTAAGGAGTTTATTCAAGAAGCCTGAGTTTTAATACAGTGGAACGCCAGAGCCTATACTCGTATCATACAAGACTTTACCAAGGGAGTTAGTAAAGGCAACTCACCGAAACAGGAACGGGCTCCTGAAATTCAATACTTAATTCATGGCAATAGAGGTAAAGCAGGAGACGTTCACATTTCTGGCCCAAAAAAGAAAAGAGAAATATAAAATATTTTTCTCCATAATAAGGTAGTCTTGAGAATGAGAACTCTATCACTACAAAGTATTAACAACAAACTGAACATAAGCCTCTGATGTGGCTAACCATCTAAAGATATACCCTTTAAGATAACCACCTCCCAGTTCTAAGACTATCATCTGCTCTACTTTCAAGAAATAAGAGTGCCTTTATTCTAATATAACTAAGATAATTTACCTATTATTAACTCTTGATTATTTATACAAATAAAGCTGCTGTAAAAGCAATATATAGCACTTTGTGAAGAAATTTATAAATTACCTGATATCAAATAAGTAAATATTTTATCACTATTGTTCCAAATTGTAATCCCTGAGGCAAGTAAGAGAAATGTTATTACCTGCTTTCTTCAAATGACTCCACTCAATTTCAAAATAAATAAAAACTGTCTCCTCAATCCATGCACATAATTTTTTTCACACAATCAGGAGTAAACTGAAATGTGTTTTACATTTCCAGTTTTCTATTTACTTAAACTTCCTTTAATATAGGTTTTTACATCTAAACATACATTATCTTCTCTTCATAGATGGTGAAAGAGGGATTCTGCAACTACTATGAGTACATCGGATTAAAGCCAAACTTAACTTTAAAGACCACAGAACTAAATAAGAGACATTCCGTCTTTGGAAACCAGACTACATATTAGATCAGGAGAAATCTTGGTGAAGTGAGGACAGAATATCAGATCTTATTTTTGTTTTTTAGGTTTTTGCCAGAGGGCACATGCACTCAACCAGACAGACAGAGGTTGAGAGAGGGAAAGTGAGAGATCACCCCCAGGGGTAGATGGCCATGCCACAATTCCTTCCCCTCCATTTTCTTCTCAGGATTGTGGTACTCATGCATATGTGCCCAGTATAATTTTTCAAGCCACCAGGTCTGGGACTTGAACCACTCCCTGTCAGCCATGTGAGACTCTAGCATCCCAACCACCTGCTGGCTCCAGATTTCATTTTTAATGATGGGAAGCTATTAGAGAATTTTAAGCAAGGAAGTCAGAAGCTTGTTGACATTTTTAAGAAGAAAGTTCCATTTAGTACAGAAAACAGACTAAAAGGAGGCAAAAGAAGCAGCAGGGAGACAGTGAAGAGATTATTATTAATATAATAGTCCAGATCCAAATGAGAGGTTCTGATGGCTATCTAACATGGTAAGCAGAGGGGAATAATATATTGGTCTTATAGCTATTCTCAATTTTTTCATTTGTTATTTGTTTGGGTTTTGTTTGTTGCTTTTATTGAGGGAGAGGACTATAAATTAAGATCTTAGTTGAAACGTGTTAAGTGTGAGGATACTTAATATGAGTATGGAGCTCAAGTGAGTAGAGATGGTTTGGCTAGTGGGATGGTTAAGGCAGCTGGATCCCACATAGCCAACCAAGCAGTTCAAGACCCAGGTCCAGCAGCATGAAAAACATGTTGGGGAGGGACCAGCAGGTGGCATAATGGTTACATTGCTGGACTCTCATGTAGTAGGCAGAGGTTTGTGTACTGGACTCGGTGGCTTAAAACTCATACCAGGTGCATATGCGTGCATGCCCAAGATCCTGAGAGAAGAATGGAAGAGAACGAATTGTAGCGTAGTCATTTCCCCTGGGGGGTGATTTCTTGCTTTCTGCTTTTCTCTGTCTCATTGGCAAGCACAAGTGCCCTATAGCAAAACGCTCTCTCTTAATTAAAAAAAAAAAAAAAAAAAAAACCACACATACAAAATATGCTGAGATATATGTGCGTGTGTCCATATGCATGTGTGTACGTGCGCATGTCCACCACAAGAGGCAGATGGAAAAGGGATTCTGGTGTAGCCATCCCTCATGGGGATGCTTTCTCACTTTCTAGTGAGCACAGGTGTCTTCTAACAAAATTAAAAAAAAAAAAAAAAGATGTAAGAAGTTAGCAATATACCATCAGATGATTACCAAATAAAAACTTATTAAGGCCTAGATCTGTAGCCTAGTGGTTAAGGGACCTTGATCCCACATGGTTGACTGCACAGTTCTAATTCCAGCTTTGGCAGCCTGAAAAATATGCCAGGCACATGTGTGTGCATGCCCCAAATCCCAACAGGATGAACAGATGAAGAAAAGATTGTGGTGTGACCATGCCCTATTGGGGGATGCTTTCTCCCTCTCCCTCTACTTGGTTAGTGCATGGGTCCTCTGGTAAAATTTTAAAATAATAAAGAAAATTTTAAAGGATTATGTGTATATTACATGGAAGCAGAGAAGATGTGTACAGAGACATTTACAGAATCCCTACCAAAATCAACTTATCTGACTGACACTTACCCTTTGGTCCACGGGGCTTAACCCCTGTGCAGTTTTCCCCTTCTTACTATGTTGCAAATTATCACAATCATATTCAACTTCTGGCTTCCCAATATCTCTGCAAAATGTACATATCCAGTCCCCACTAGACAGGGAAATAAGCAATTAGTCCACATAATTATAACAAAGCCTGCTCTAGACAAGTTCCTTCAGTGTCTTATTATTTATCTTTACCCTAAACTCTTCACATCTACATAAACTGAGGGATAAAAGGAAAAAAGGAGAGTTGAAAGAAACAAATATGACTACTACTTCATGGTCTCTGATATCAACAGACAAAAGATTTATGAACATAAAAATAAAATGTTAACTAGAAGAATGATTAGCTCTAGAATCAAACACTCCCATTTGTAGATGCAAGGACTGATTTCTGAAAATTAGTAAACTGCCCAATCTTACTACAGAATTACACCCAGATTATAGGTTTTAGAACCTAGCCTATCATACCTGTCCCACTGTATTAGCTAGTATTCAGCTTGCCTTGGGTGCTCACCAGTGAATGCTTTAATGCTTAAAACAATATTTAACAGTCACGAGGTCTAACAGTCTGAGGACAAAGTTCAATACTGAAGGTATTCCATGCAAATGGAAATCAAAAAAAGGCTAGAATCGCAATACTGATATCATATAAAATAAGGCTTTAAGACAAAAACTGTAAGAAGAGACAAAGGACACTGTCTAGCACTAAAAGGGCTAATTCACCAAGAAGATACAACACTTACAAATACCTATGCACCCAACTCGGGAACACTCGAATCCATGAAAGAAAAACTGTTACATCTAAAGGGTGAGATAGACTGCAACACAGTAGTTATTAGGGATCTCAACACCCCACTATCTCCCTTGGAAAGATCATCGAGACAAAAAATAAGCAAACAGATGCAGGATCTAAATGATGCCTTAAATGAAACAGCCTTGACAAACATCTATAGAATTTTCCACCCTATAATCATAAAATAAACATTTTTCTCATCCTCACATGGAATCTTTTTGAAGACTGACCACACGAAAGGGGACAAAATAAGGCTTTACAAATTCAAAAGTATGGAAACTATATATAGCATCTTCTCTGACCATGATGGAGTTAAAGTTGAAATTAATTTAGAAAATATACAAACATATGGAAACTAAACAACCTACTCCTGAATAACTTTATAGCCACTGAAGAAATTAAGACTGAAATCAAAATAGTCACTGAAACCAATAAAAACAAGTCTATGAGTTAGTTACATAACCTATGGGACACAGCAAAAGCAGTCACAAGAGGGAAGTTCACAGCAATTAGTGCACGTAAGGAAAAGATGGGAAAGGGGGCAAATAGACCACCTTAAACAACACACCTCAGGGAACTGGAAAAACAACAATTCCAGGAGAAAAAAATAATAAATATCTGAGCAGAAATAAATGAGATAGGGAACAGACAAACTATACAGAAAAAAGTAAAACCAAAAGCTAGTTCTTTTAGAAGATAAACATTACTGATTCACTGTTAGCTAGACTAAATAAGAAGAGAGAAATGAACCAGATAAATCAAATTCACCATCAAACAGGCAATATTACAACAGATGAAAGAGAAATATAAATGAACATTAGAGAATAGTCTGAGTGACTACACACCAATAAGAAAACCTGGATGAGATGGACAAATTTCTGGACACATATAAGCTACAAAGACTGAATCAGGAAAACATAAAGAGCCTGAATAGACCAATAACAATCAATGAGATCGAATCTGTAATAAAAAAATCTCCCAAAGAAAAGTCCAAGTCTCAATGGTTTCATTTCTGAGTTCTATAAAACTTTTTTAAAAAGAGCTAACCCCCATTCTACTTCAAACTATTTCTGAAGATCCAAAAGGAAGGAACCCTCCCAAATCCATTTTATGAAGCCTCCATCACCTTCATCCCCAAAACAGACAAGGCTGTAACAAACAATAAAAACTACAGACCAATATCTATGATAACTACAGATGCAAAAATGTTCAACAAGATACTAGCAAATCATATCCAATAACACATTAAAAAGATGATGCAATACAACCAAGTAGGATTTATTCCAGGGATGCAAGGGTAGTACAACCATAAATGTAATACACTGCATTAACAGAAAGAAAGATAAAAACTGTATGATTATATCAGTCAATGCAGAAAAAGCATTTGAGAAAATATAACATCCCTCCATAATTAAGACTCTCAGCAAAATCAGCATAAAAGGGACATTTCTCAACATAATAAAAACCATATATGAAAAACCCATAGTTAACATCATACTAAACAGGGAAAAGCAGAAAGTTTTCTACTAAAAACTGGAACGAGACAGGGCTGCCCGCTTTTTTCCCCTCTTTTTCATATAGTACTGGGAGTCCTAGCCAATACAATCAGACAAGAGAATAAAATAACAGGCATTCAAACAGGGAAAGAAGAAGTGAAATTATCTCTATTTGCAGATAACATGATTATGTACATAGAAAATCCACAAGAATACACACACACACACACACACACACACACACACACACAAACCTCCTGAAAGTGATAAATGATAGAGTAAAGTGGCAGGATACAAACTCAATATACAGAAATCTAAAGCATTTCTATACATGAACAAGGAACAGACTAATGTAGAATTGAAAACAGCAATCCCATTTACAATAGCCACAAAAAGTAAAAGATACCTAGGAATAAACCTAACTTAAGAAGTCAAAGAGCTCTACAAGGAAAACTATGAAAAACTAAAAAAAGAATTGAAAATGACACAAAAAAGTAGAAAGACATTCCAAGTTCCTGAATTGGAAGAATTAATATAATCAAAATGTCAATTCTAGCCAAATCATCTACAAAGTTAATGCAATCCCAACCAAATTACCAGATATTCTTCATAGATTTAGGAAAAGAAAAAAAACACAGAATTTGTCTGGAATCATAAAAGACCCTCCCCTATTGTCAAAGCAATTCTGTGCAAGAAGGGAGTAATAGGAGGCATCTCATTCCCTGACCCTAAAATATATTACAAAGCTGTGATAATCAAAACAGCATGGTATTAGTACAAAAAAACAGGCACGTGGACCAATGGAACAGAAGAGACCCCAGAAATAAACCCCAAAACATACAGCCAATGGATTTTTTTTTTTTTTTTTGAGAGGTTTTTGCTATAGGGTGTGTGCACTCACCAGAAAGATAAGAGAGAGACAGAGAGACAGAAAGTGAGAAATCACCCCCAAGGCCACACCACAATCCATTCTCCTTCATTCTCCTCTCAGGATCTTGGACACGCACGCACATGGGCCTGGCGTGAGTTTAAGAGACCAGATCCGGGATTCAAACCATGGAAGACTACGTGAGAGTCCAGCGACATAGCCATTACGTTAACTACTGGTCCTTTCCGCTAATAAAACACACACAAGGTGATAAAGAAAAAAGAGAACTGGGCTTAAAATTAAGAAACCTGTGTTTAAATGTCATTGCTTTCATCCACCTGCAGACAGATTAAACTGGACTCCTATCTCTCACCATTAACAAAAATCAACTTACAGTGGATCAAAGATCATCTAAGATCTCGAACTATAAAACTCGTGGCGGAAAACACAGGGGAAACTCTTGGAGACATCGAAGTAGGCAAAGACTTCTTAAATAAGACCCCTAGTGCACAGGCAATGATGTTAAAAATAGACAAGTGAGACTACTTCCGGTTAAAGTGCTCTGCACAGTAAAAGAAACAATTAGAGTGAATTGGCAACATTCAGAATGGGGGAAATATAATCGCAAATTATGCCTCAGATAAGGAACTGATAACCAAAATATACAGGGAACACAAGTAGCTTATCACCCCTAAAAATGACCAACCCAATTAAAAGATGTGCAAATGAGCTGAACAGGCAATTCTCTAAAGAAGACATACAAACAGCCAAAAAGCATATAAAAAGATGCTCAACATCTCTTATTACAAGGGAGATGAGAATCAAAACTACAATGAGATACCACCTAATCCCAGAGTAGTTAAGATGTTAAAAATACAGAATGTTAAGTACTGGCAAGGCTGTGTTGAAAAGGGAACTCTTCTATGCTGTTGGTGGGAATATAAATTAGTACAGCTACTGTGGAGAACAATATAGAGGTTCCTCAAAGACCTACAAATAGAACTGCCATATGATCCAGCAATTCCACTGCTGGGTATCTATCCAAAGGATAGGAACACAGTCAGAAAAGTACTTGCACATCCATGTATTGCAGCATTAGTCACAATTGCTAAGACCTGGAACCAAGCCAAATTTCCACAAACAGATGATTGGATTGAAAAAAATGTGACACGTATACACTACAAAATACTACTCAGCAAGAAAAAACACTGAGACCCTGGCATCTGATAGAAGTGGATGAATATGGAAGATTTACTGCTAAGTGAAACATGCCAGACTATGAAAGAGAGGCACAGTATGTCCCCACTCAATACATACTGTCTGTTTGTACTCTATGGCAGAAACTTAAAGACTAGAAGATAAAAAAGCACGGAGAACAATTGTGGGCACTAAAGACAGTGTGTGAGAAGGGTAGGAAATAGGAGAGGGTGAGAAGAAGGGAATCAAGGGGAAAAAAATTTAAGGGTCACAAAAATGGGAAATTATCTGTTGATGATAACGTGTACGATAATATCTTTAACCAGACTAATACACAGTGGACTCATAATGGGAAAATTCATTTTGTATGCTGTAATGCTCTACAGTGATATTAAAAAATAACAATAAGATATATTTTAAGAATGAGATGCTGTGTTGAAGCAGGCAGTTGGTTAATGTGCTGGACTCCCACACAGCCAACAACTGTTCAAGTCCCAGACTGGAGACTTGCTTTCTCACTTTCTCTTTCTCTCTCTGGTCAAGTTAAATAATATAAATAAAATGATTCTTACAAAAGAGATTAATAATAATAAATAAAATAATTCTTAAAAAAGAGATTAATAGTAATAGGGAAAAAATTTGCTGACCCCACAGCCTTGGAGGCAAGGGTCTAGTGGTTAAGAGAGCAGGATTCCACATGGCTGCCTATGGTTTAAGTTCTTAGCTCCAGTGGTTTGAAAAACACACCAGGCACAGGTGTGTGCATGCTCAAAATCCCAATAGGGAAAAATGGAAGGGAAGGGATTATGGCATGACCATGCCCCATTTGAGGGTACATCTTCTCTCTCCCTTTCTCTGGTAATTAAAAAATTCACCTTCAGGAAGAAACAGACTTTCTCCAAGACACTAATCCTCTTGCCCCTCTTAATTTAGATCTTTACCTAATCTGTTTACACTGAATATAAACTGAAAGCCAAGAGATGAAGTCTATTATCACTAATGTACCACTTAGATCTTAACACATTTTTTCATTCTGTTCTTAGTTTCCTTGGGAGGTAATATTAAAGAAATAATAGGCTCTTTGTTTTATAGGACTACTATGCATCGGTTATGAAGGCTGTCTGGGGGTCAGACAGTACTGTAGTAGTAAAATATAATGTTCTGCAAGGCAATGCCACATGCTATAGTTCTCACTTCAAGTTCTGAAGGCTTCCCTCAGTACACTGAGCACACACCTGCCCATAATCCAGGGCTGGCTGGAGGTCGGATGTAGATTATGGCATCAGGACTTGTTCAGGGTCTGTCTGTCTGTCTGTCTGTCTGTCTCTGGCTCATGGAAGAAACAAACTTAGGGGGGGGAAAAACACCACCTGCCCCAAACAACTTTCTGCTATTTATTTTTCTAGCTTACAAAAATCAACAACGACGACAACAACAAAACAACTATTTCACTAGTACCTTGGAAAGCTAAGAAGTGTTGGAACATGACAAGTTAGATGAAAGACCTTCGGGCATTTTTCACAGCACAAGAGATCTCCTCCATTTTGGCAGACAGCACACCAGTCTTCATTTGGGTCATCATCTTTGCTGTTGCCATCTCCTCCAATCCTTACAGACCTGTGCATGAGGCTTCGAATTGAGGACTTTCCATTAACAAGGCTGCTAAGCCCTGACTGTTTGCAGCTTTCATTCATATCTGTAGGCTCCGTTTTCACATGGTTTTCCAGGCTTGTTAATGCATCTAACTCACTCTCTAGATGCAGGTTGGTTGAGAGAGGTGGTGTCAAGCTACTCTCAGGACTGCTCAACTAAAAGAAAACAACAACAAATCCTTGAAGAATCACTTAATACGTTTTGTATGCAGTGTGAGTATTTAAAAGTTATGTCAATATGCATACATAATACCAACATAACTTAAAATTTAAGGAGTCTACCCCTCTAATACTGGGTTCAGTCAGATATTAATTAAACACTAAATGAGAAGTGAACATAAGATTATACTTTTCCTGTAGAAGGGTGACAAAGGCATACTATTTTTCACCCTGAATCTGTGGCATAGCATTAGAGAAGCATTCTGTAATATTCCTCTGCTCGCATTTCACTCTACTTTTAAGAATACTGTGACAATGAAAAGGGAATCTTTCACCACCCTTTTGTACCCATTTTAAGGAGGTACTTTACCTTCTAAACCAAGTTCTAGATGAAAAGATGATACTGCTCTAACCTCAAGGCTAAATGTATTGTTCCCTAAACATATATCTAACATGTTGAATATACTAATGTCCTGAATTTTACACACACACACACACACACACACACATACACACAATTCCTATGTGCAAGCCATTCATAAAATGAGACAAAAGCCTGGTTAAGAAGAAAAAACAAAAATTGAAATTTCTAAATGAAGAGGCACTTGGTTATCTTTTATTCTACATTATAAATTTTCTAAAATGTTTCATCCAGTAAACTCTAGAATGATTAATAATTCATAAGTCAAAAGCAATCTCCATAACACCAAACTCTTAAATCGATAAACTTCTTTCATGCTAACAATCTTAATGCTGAGCTTGCAGATCCAGGGCAATAACCAAGGATCTTTTTTGTGGCCTAAGATTCAACTGAGATCAATAATAAATTCAGGAAAAGACAGAATCCCATTCAGCATTATGGCAAAAACAGTACAAACTCGAAGATAATTTCAGATCAATACTTAACATGATTATGTCTTTTCTGATTAATTACAGTTGACTCTTAGAGAAAAAAGGATGAAGTTGACTGCTGAAGAGAGAGACAAAAGAGACTGGCAGCCAAACAGAGCAGTGGGAGAAATGGACTCTAGATTTTATGTTGGAGAGGTCTTCATATATAAAAAAAGAAAAAAGAAAAGAAAAGGTTAGGGTTGGAAAAATATTTTTGGCTTATGTCAGACACAAAAATGCAAAGATAAATGTCTACAGAACCACTATTTGATCTAATATATTGGGTTACTGGAAAAGTCATGATGCATTTTTGCATAGAAAAACATGGAAAAAATATGTCATGACTTTTTTGATAACCTAATACTTAGAGATGGAAGACTCACTAAGTGACCTCCTCAAGTTCCTGTCAGACCCTGGTAGGAGCTTACCATGCAAGCACTCCTCCTGCCATCCTCTGTCTTTTCTTGTTTCACAGCTCCTGAAAAGCTACATATTTCATCTTCAGTCCCAGGTTCTTGTTTGACCTTTACTTGGTCAGACTTGAAACTAAGACTTGTCTTCTCAGCAGTTCTTCCTGATGACCCACAGCTAATTAAAAAAAAAAAAAAAAGACAACAAATAAAGGTCACACATATTTAGTTGTATAGTATAAATAAAAACAATTACAAAGAAAAGTCATGTTCATTAAAATGAAAACACAATAGACAATTTATAGAAGACAAGGACACTCATAACACAGTTAAGAGAAATGTGGCATAAGTCTACCTTCAAACTCTTTAAAAATGTAGATCTGATTTACAAAAGACCCTAAAAACACACTTACGGTCTGAGGCATTTACATTAAATTATTTAAGGAGTCTAGTAAATAATTATTTTTCCTAATCAGTAGTATAAATGTCAGCAATTGCTTCCCTTTATAAAAATAGTTTCAACTTTTCTTATCTCCCCAAACATCTAAAGATACACCAATAATAGTGGTTCATGAAGCCTCTTTGAAGAGACTTTTGGGAGTAGAGGATGGAGAAAGGGCAAGGACCAACAATGTTCTTATTTAATCAATATAATGACAGGCAAGAGGAAAGGTACAGTTTGATCTAAAACACAAAGCAAAATTACTGCTAAGAATGAATTAACTGGTAAGGCTATACTGCTATTGAGAATGAACACCTTTTCATTCAGTTTGTACTTTTCTTCTAAAAGCACAAATTAATTATTTAAAGTAAAATTAAAAGGCCAAGCAAATGTTTAATAGGACCAGTCATCAGAATGTGTAAACACACATATATAGGTATGTAAAAAAACATTCAGAGATAGCCCCATAGCCTAGTGGTTTAAGGAACTGGATGCCACACTGACAACCACGGCTCAAATCCTGGGCACCAGCAGGCACACGTGTGAGCATACTCTAAATCCCAGATGAAGAAATGGAAGAGAACAGACTGCGGGATGACCATGCCCCAGAGGAATGGTCTGTCTCCCTCTTTGTCTCTCTCTGATTAAGTGCATATGCTCTCTGGCAACTAAGAAATAAAGAAAACATTCATATATTATTTTAAATAAAATCTTCCTTGCATTGTACTAAACTATTCAAACTAGAGAATATAACAGTAAAATAAGTACAATAGCAACTGCATTTTATCTTTTTTTTTTTTTTGAGAGGTTTTTGCTATACGGCGCATGCACTCGCCAGAAAGACAGAGAGAAACAGAGAAACAGAAAGTGAGAAATCACCCCCCGAGGGGGATGGCCACGTCGCAATCCCTTCTCCTCCATTCTCCTCTCGGGATCTTGGGCACGTACACACACATGCCTGGCGTGAGTTTTAAGCCACTGGGTCCGGGACGCGAACCGTGGTCGACTATGGGGGAGTCCAGCGACATAGCCATTACGCTAACTGCTGGTTCCCAGCAACTGCATTTTATCTTTTTTTTTTTTTTGAGAGGTTTTTGCTATACGGCGCATGCACTCGCCAGAAAGACAGAGAGAAACAGAGAAACAGAAAGTGAGAAATCACCCCCCGAGGGGGATGGCCACGTCGCAATCCCTTCTCCTCCATTCTCCTCTCGGGATCTTGGGCACGTACACACACATGCCTGGCGTGAGTTTTAAGCCACTGGGTCCGGGACGCGAACCGTGGTCGACTATGGGGGAGTCCAGCGACATAGCCATTACGCTAACTGCTGGTTCCCAGCAACTGCATTTTATCTTAAAGAGCATAAGCAAAGCACAAACACGCTCCTATTTCTTAGCTCTGTGTAACAAAAATACCTGAATACTAATAAACAAGACAGTAGCAATAAGTGGCCCTAGTACCAAGAAGATTGTTTCCAGACACTATTTCCCTGTTAATCTGACCAGAATTTCTCCAGAAAATGGCTACTTTTGGGTCTAAGATAAAAAAATGTACAAAATGAACCAGTAAACAATGAAACTTCCAAAGACTACAGGGATTATAGCAAAGGACTAAAGAGCAAACTAGAAAAGCCCTGAGAAGCCACAGATGAAACAATGTAGGTCACCATTAAAAAAAAAAAAAAAAAAAAAAAAATACCCTGTAATAAATTAAATATATAACGTATGTTTAAATATCTGAGCCCATGAAGGTAAGAATAATAAAACTCATTGATCACTGTTGGAGGGTGCTAGAAATTAACTTATTACCATGAAAGCAGGTCAATAAAGAGAAAGAATCAATTTATCCTGCCCCCCCCTTTTTTTTTTTGGAGAGGTTTTTGCTATACGGCGCATGCACTCGCCAGAAAGACAGAGAGAAACAGAGAAACAGAAAGTGAGAAATCACCCCCCGAGGGGGATGGCCACGCCACAGTTCCTTCTCCTCCATTCTCCTCTTGGGATCTTGGGCACGCATGCACATGTGCCCAGCGTGAGTTTAAGACACCGGGTCCAGGACTTGAACTGTGGTCGACTACATGGAGTCCAGTGACATACCCATTATACTAACTGCTGGTCCCTATTCTGCCTTTTCTATAACCCAATAATTGGCAACAGAAAATGTCTCTTACAATTAAAATTTAATTTTTCTTTTTCCTTTCTTTTCTCTTTTTTTTTTTAAGTTTCGCTATAGGGTATGTGTGCTCACCAAGGAGAGACAGGAAGAGAGCGATAGAGAGGGAAAATGAGAAATCACCCCCTCCCCAAGGTGGTAGGGGGCATGGCCACAAACACAATCCCTCCGCCTCCCTTCTTCTCTTCGGTTCTGGGTGCACACACACACATGTGCCCAGCATTATTTTCAAGCACCAGGTCTAGGAACTGTGAAGTCAGCCATGTAGGATACGGTAGCCCCAATTCCATACTATCTGCTGGCCCTAAAATATTATTTTTCAAGCAGTAAAAAAAAAAAAAAAATAAGAGTTAAATAATGATTATGAATAGCTTCTATTACAAAAAAAAAAAAAAAAGATATTACCCAAAGAGATATTATACACCCACATGATCGTAATGCACACTACCACCATGAAGTATTCTTGCCCTCCTTTTCCTCAAATCAAAAACAAATCTAATCAGGGGAACCAGCAGTTAGCGTAATGGCTATGTCGCTGGACTCCCACGTAGTCGACCACAGTTCGCATCCCGGACCCGGCGGCTTAAAACTCACGCCAGGCGCGTGTGCGTGCGTGCCCAAGATCCCAAGAGGAAAACGGAGGAGAAGGGATTGTGGTGTGACCATCCTCCGTGGGGGGTGATTTCTTGCTTTCTGTCTCTATGTCTCTGTCTGTCTGGCGAGCGCACGCACCCTATAGCGAAACCTCTCAAAAAAAAAAAAAAAAAAAATCTAATCGGACGATCCCTTCTGGTCTTTCTTTCCAACTCAGGCCAGGCACAATGGCTCCCACAAAGAGGGATGGCGAAAAGAAGGGTTGTTCAGCCATCAATGAGGTAGTGATATGAGAATACACCAACATTCTCAAGCACATCCATAGTGTGGGGTTTAAGAAACACGCCCTCCTCAAGCAATCAAAGAGATTCAGATATTTGCAATGAAGGAGATGGGAACTCCAGATGTTCACAGTGATACCAAGTTCAACAACGATGTCTGGGTAAAGGAATAAGGAACGTCCCATACCATATCTGGGTGTGGTTGTCCAAGAAACAATGAGGATGAAAATTCACCAAACAAGCGCTATACACGGGTACGTAATAACCTATGTACCTGTTATCATTTTCAGAAAACAGTCAATGTGGATGAAAACTTAGTGCTGATTTTCAAATAAAGTTATAAAACCATAAGAAAAAAAATGAAACCTGGTTTATTGGGTCATTGGAAAAGTCATGACACATTTTTGCATAGAAAAACATATCATGACTTTTCTGACTACCCAATAAATATCAACACAGATTAAATATACGAACAAAAAAGAAAGTGTATTTAAACAAGATGGGAAAGTTCTATAAAAGAAATAACTTTCTACAACAAACAGATTTTTTTAAAAAAGATTATTTATTTATTTACATTTGTTATTGTTAGCTTTTTATTATTATTTATTTATTTGATGAGAGAGAGAGAGAAAGTGAGAAAGCAAACCACCAGGTCCGGGACTTTAACCATGGTTGGCCATGTGGGAATCCAGAGCCCTTATCTACCACACCACCTGCTGGCCCCAACTAACAGATGTTGATATAAACCTGTCACTGACAGCAATATATAGAGTTTACGTGAATCTGATTCAGAGAAATTTCTTTTTTGGAGAGGTTTTTGCTATAGGGTGTGTACACTCGCCAGAAAGACAGAGAGAGACAGAGAGACAGAAAGTGAGAAATCACCCCCCTGAGGGGAATGGCCACGTCGCAATCCCTTCTCCTCCATTCTTCTCTTTGGATCTTGGGCATGCATGCACATGCACCCAGTGTGAGTTTAAGCCACCGGGTCTGGAACTCAAACCGCAAAACTGGGACCAGCAGCTAGCGTAATGGTTATGTCGCTGGACTCGCCATGTAGTAGACTGCGGTTCGAGTCCCGGACCCGGTGGCTTAAACTCACGCCAGGTGCAGAGGAGAATGGAGGAGAAGGGATTGCAGTGTGGCCATCACCCCTGGGGGGTGATTTCTCACTTTCTGTCTCTCTTTCTGGCAAGCGCATGTGCCCTATAGCGAAAACCTCTCCAAAAAAAGAGAAAAAAATACATGGATTACTTAAAAAAAACAAACAAACAAAAAAACCCTAAAAACTTAGCTGTTGGGTCAGCTGGTTGCATGGTGGTGAAGGCAGCTGGATCACACATGGCTGACTGCATGGTTCAAAGTCCTGGACCCATGGGACCAGCAGTTAGTGTAATGGCTATGTCACTGGACTCCCATGTAGTCGACCATGGTTCGAATCTCAGACCTGGTGGCTTAAACCTCACGCCAGACACGTGTGGGTGCGTGCCCAAGATCCCGAGAGGAGAATGGAGAAGTGATTACGTCATGGCCATCCCCCCTGGGGGGTGATTTCTCGCTTTCTGTCTCTCTGTCTGGCAAGCGCACACGCCCGACAGTAAAAACCTCTCAAAAAAAAAAAAAGGTCCTGGACCCAGCAAGCTTGAGAAACACACCAGGCACACATACGTGTGTACTCAAAATCCTAAAAGGAGGGAGAAATGAAGAGAGAACTGTAGCATGACCATTCCCCACAGGGCAGATCCTTTCTCACTTTCCCTCTCTGTCACTCACTATAAGCATATTTGCCCTCTGGCCAAAAAATAAAAAAAGATGCTAATTGTTTTTTTTTTAAATAAAGAGAATGATTTGTTTGATTATATTTATTTGTTTGTTTGACCAGAGATTGAGAGAGAGAGAGAGAAAAGGAAAGTGAGAAAGCAAACCACCAGGTTGAGAACTTGAACCATTGTCAGCCATGTAGGAGTCCAGTGACTTAACCACCATGCAACCTGCCAGCCCTTAGCTACTAATTTTTTAAGATGTAATTATGGTTGTGTGGTTATAAATTTCTTATTGTTAAGTGATGTACACTGAAGCAGTCACAAGTTAAACAACATGGTGGCAGATTTTCTTCAAAATAATTCAGACCAGGAAGAAATAGCAAGAGTATAGAAAAAATAAGACTGGCCATAACTTGATCATTGTCGAAGCTGGGTGAGAAGCATATACAGGTTCACTGTAATATTCTACTTTTATTATATATTTGAATTTTTTCTTAAAAAGAAAAAGATTAATTAATAACATAATACTCACCTGCCTCGACTGCCAGTACTAGATGTACTAGGGGGTCTCACAGGTGTGTGAGAATTGGATAAACCTAAAAAATGGTAGGGAAAAATGAACATCTATATAAGAATATCCAGAATTCATTCTATCTGCTAGTTATAGAATTTAAGATTATTTTAACTCAATTTAGAAATTCTTGACAACCAGAATTTTGCAAAATCAGGGATGGCATATGTAATCACTAGCAGACACCATTCAATTTGCTTCAGCTGAGCACAGACATCACCTCAGAATCCTCCTCAGAGCAACAATATCCAACCAAAGAATATTACCAGATCAGGACATCTGTGATCCCTCCCTGAAGTTATCTGATAAAATATTCTACTTAAGATTCCCATTAATTATTCTCTTCACAAGTCCTGAAATAATTTTAACTAAACTTCAAGAAAATTGTGGTTCCAAAAAAACTTTATGATGTACTTCATACAAAATCCACACTTAAATTTTAATTAATATTTCTCTAAAAGTATCTGTAAATTCTATCTACATCTAGATATAATATAGATATCTATACCTAGAAATAATACAATATAGATAGATATCTATATCTAGAAATAATGAAAGTGGTCAGTTTCAGTTAGGAAAAAAACAAACAAACATTTAATTTACATCAGAAGAATATACTCCATAACTACTTTGGAACTGTTAACCTGTTTGGAGTTGCTTTCTATCATGCATTTTTCAGAGTCCCATTTGAATCACCCTGTAATAGGGTCAAAACAACTAATGGGATTTTGGATGAAAGTTACACTTATGAACACTGTAGTAGTTTCCGATAAATTTACTTTAAAATTACAATTAAAAATTCACTTACCTTTCCTCAACTCTTGTTTTTTAAACAATTTTTCAATATTTCATTACTTTACAAGGAGTTTTAAATTGGGTTAAAAAAACAAAGAACACTTTAACTGACCATCTGTATTATAACATATAAGACAAGGAAAGGAAACACAGGGCTAGCAGGTGGCATGATGATTAAGGCAGCTGGATCCCATATGGCCAACTGCATGGTGGAGTCCCAGACCTGGTGGCCTGAAAAACACACGAGGCAAATGTACATGAGTGCGTGCCCATCCCCTCTGAGGGTGCTTTCTCTCTCTCTCTGGCTAACAGACATACCATACTGCAAAAACAATAATTTAAAAAAGTAAATACAGCTACAAACCCAACAAAGAATGTGAATAAGGTGAGGGCTGGTTACTTTAGAGTTATAAACAGTATAAACCACAGTTACAGACTTCAGAACTTCAGTAAGCAAAAGACTGCCAACATTATTTGAATAAAACATTTTTTAAAAAATCAGAAAAAATGTGTTACTGTGATAGTTAATTTTATGTTTCAACTTGGCTAGATGTGATACCCAGATGTTTGACCAGTACAAATGTTGAGAAGATAGTTTTTAGATGTGATTAAATCAATAGTTTGAGAAAAGTGGAATATCCTCCATAATTTAGGAGAACCTTATTCAGTGAGTTGAAGTCCTTGAAAGTCAGAGGTTCCCAGGGACCAGCAGATGGCATAATGGTTATGTCACTAGATTCCCACATCGTTGACCATGGTTCGAGTCCTAGACCCAGCAGCCGAAAACTCATGCTGGATGCATGTGTGTGCGTGCCAAAGATCCTGAGAGGAGAATGAAGGAGAAAGGACTGCAGCATGCCCATCTCCCTTGGGGGATGAGTTCTCGCTTTCTGTCTCTCTGCCTCTCTCTTCTCTCTGATGAATGCACATGCCCTATAGCAAAAATCTCTTTTAACAAAAAAGATGTCAAGAGGTTCCCATATGAAAGAAGGAACTCTGCCTCCAGACTCTGTACTCAAGGCTGTAACATACTCTCTTCCCTGGGCCGCTGCTTGCCAACCTGTCATCCAGATTTTTGACTTGCCAGCTCCCACAAAGTGAGCCAACTTCTTAAAATATATCTCTCAATCTGTCTCTCTCCACACACACATATACATATCCCTCCTATTGATTGTTTTCCTGGAAAGTCCTGACTAATATAGATTCTAAGAGACATTTTTTTTTTAAAGGTGTTAGAGAAATTTGGCAATACCATTTGTTTTACCTGATGATCCTGGAGATAGAGCAGAAGGTCCTGGGGAAGGATTCATGGTGCTTGTAGGCTGTGGGGGTAGGTGGCTGCCTGAGATGTATCTACTTAGTAGATTATCTAAACTACTTGAGCCAGCATCTTCCAACTGAAGAGAGAGAACATAAAAATAAGTTGCTTTGATTAAAGCAGAGAAATTATTAATTTCATTAGTATCACCATCTATACTCAGTTTAATTTAAAAAAAAAAGACTATCCAATATTAAATTCAGCTTAATTATTAGGCTCTTCTTAGGGCCCACATTGTATAAAGTTTACATGAATACAATTATAATTAATATTATCAACAAATATTCAGCTGTTCTAGGGAAAACCTAATGATTCATAAACTCCTATTTGTTCTATTATGAAAGTAACTGACACACTCCAACGCTTCTCCTTTTTTTTCAAAACTGCTGCCAATATCAGCGTCCTTGTCCTCAGTCTCTCTCCCTTTATTTGAAGTGCACAGTCCTGCACAATCATTCACCTAAATAGACACGTAACCACATCAGTATACAACTTCAAAAGTTGGAGATTTTATAGACCACGAAAGCCACTACACTAACATACAAGACAATTTATTACATATAAAAAATGGGGAGGGTCAGTAGGCAATCTGAGCTCTTTTCTTACTTAGAGGCCGACTTAGGATAAAGTCAGAGGACCCAGCACTGTGATTTGGGGGCTGGTTCCCAACTTCAATGTTAGCCTCCTGTCTTTACAACATCCCACCTACACTGTAGAGCTGTGAAGATCAAATGAGAAAATATTTATGTAAGAAAAAGTAAAAACGTACAACTTAAGTATCTTATGTACCTTAAGCTGTATTACCTTATATCGTATTTTACACTATTGCATGTAAGAGATGATTAAATTCTTATTTAAGTAATTGTTCATCTTTTCATTTACTGGCCTACTTGAACCCACACTTGTCACCCTTCAATCTTCAATATTCTCTCCTTGGGGACCAGCAGTTGACGTAACGGCTATGTCACTAGACTCCCATATAGTTGACCATGGTTCGAGTCTCGAACCAGGTGGCTTAAACTCACGCCAGGCGCGTGTGTGTGCGTGCCCAAGATCCCAAGAGGAGAATGGAGGAGAAAGGACTGCGGCGTGGTCATCATCCCCGGGGGCAGATTTCTCACTTTCTGTCTCTCTCTGTCTTTCTGGCGAGTGCATGTGCCCTATAGCAAAAACCTCTCTCTCTAAAAAAAAAAAAAAAAACTCTCCCACTAGAGGCCAGATAATTTCTTATGCAAATCTATTTCTGACTCAAGACAGAAAACTGAACATACTTATTTTCTCCTTCCTGTCCTGTCCTCTCTTCCTAAAAGCACACTGCCTTTCACAGCTTTAAGACTGAAGGGAATGCAACAGAGTAGAAATTTTGGAAGAAACTAGGAATATAAGCCAAGGTAGAATGGAGCAGCTCACAACATATCACAAGAGAACATCTTCCTTAAAAAATAAATAGGACAATTTTCCCAAAGTCCTTTAAAAACAAACAAAAAACAAAATAAAACAAAACAAAAACCCATGCCATAGACATGAAGGAGTGAAGGTGAGAGCAGGCTGTGGATTAGCTGGAGGAACAATTAAGGGACAGCAGTAGTTGTGGCTGCCTTCTCCACAGTCACAGTGTTGGCCAAGGATGCATTCACTTAAGCTACAGGAGAATCCCTGGCTGCAACTCAAGTCAACTGGAGGATCAGTGAAGAAGGAAAATTCCTAATGTGAGCCAGAGATGGAATTGGGGATATAACCCACTTAAAAAGAAAGGAGGGGGGAAAAGATCAGAAAGGGACCTGAAAATTCCATATTATCCACCCCTACTATATTCCCCACCTGTGATTTATGCCTCTGTCCAGATAAACAACCTTAATTTAAGGCTAGAAGAGCACACAGTCAGAAAGACATGAACAGGAAGTAAATAAAATGTCTTCACTGATGCCATGATATTCTCCAAAAGGGAAATACCAACTGAAGCATTTGCCTCCAGGTTTCCCCACACATGGGTAACGAGTCACTATCAATACAGTTAAAAATCTAACAGGAATGATCTAGCTAATAGCTAAGATCACTGATGAAGGTGGATACATGAAGCAACAGATTTTCTATGCAGACAAAACGGCCTTATATTGGAAGATGATGCCATCTAGGACTTTCATGGCTAGATAAGAAAAGCTATACCTGGCTTCAAAGCTTCAAAGGGCAGACTGATTCTCTTGGTACAGGCTACAGTAGCTAGTAACTTTAAGCTGAAACAAATGCTTATTTGCCATTTTGAAAATTCCCTAGGCCATTAAGAATAATGCTACATCTGGCAGCTGTGGCAGCACAGCAGTAACACAATGCTCTGTGATTTGAGGCCATATAGGAAGGTTCTGGGTTCATATCACAATGTGTCCCTATGTATTCCAGGCATGTATGCCCATGATCCCAGCTGGCTGAGTCTAGGACTAGCTCACGCATGAGGATTCTGTAAAGGGATGCCTCCCTATCTTCCCCTATCCGGGAGAAAATACACTTAATAATATGAATTATGCAAATCTACTCTGTTTATGCTCTGTAAATAGAACAACAAAGCCTGGACAACAGTACATCTGTTTATAGCACGGTTTTTATATTGAATACTTTAAGCCCATGTTGAGACCTACTACACAGTTCTTAGTTGTATTAAGAATACAACTTGATCTGGGAACCAGCAGTTAGCGTAATGGCTATGTCGCTGAACTCCCCCGTAGTCGACTGCGGTTCGCGTCCCGGACCCAGTGGCTTAAAACTCACGGCAGGGGTGTGGGCATGCATGCCCAAGATCCCAAGAGGAGAATGGAGGAGAAGGGATTGCGGCGTGACCATCCCCCCTGGGGGGTGATTTCTCGCTTTCTGTCTCTATGTCTCTCTCTCTCTGTCTGGCGAGTGCATGTGCCCTATAGCGAAAACCTCTCCAAAAAAAAAAGAATACAACTTGATCACCCAAGAGCTCTGATGAAGATGTACAAGGTGATTAATGTATAAAACTGGCTAATAAATCACCTGTACCCCATGGATCAAGGAGTAATTTCAACTTTCAAGTCTTATTTAAGAAATACATTGCAAGGTCAGCAATGAAGCAGAACAATTAAGAGAGTAGGTCCTGCATGGTTAACTGCAGTTTGAATCATGGCCCTTGCAGCGTGAAAAACATGCAAGGCACATGTGCATGCATGGGTGCCCCAAATCTTGACAGAATGAAGGAATGGAAGTAAAGAGACTACAGCATGATCACACCCATTGAGAAAGTAACTGCAGATGTGGTATAAATTACAAGAGAAAGAATTAGAAATGGGGCCTGAAGATATGATTGAATGAATTATTAAAATCTCATAATAAAACTTAAACAAATGAGGAGCTGCTTAATGAAGGAAACAGAGATTTCCTGAGAAGGAACCTATTTCTGATGAAGATGCTATGAACATTGTTAAAGTAACAATAAAGAATTTAGAATACTACCTAAACTCAGTTGACAAAACTGTGGCACAGTTCGAGAGGACTCTTATTTAGAAAAGAAGTTATACTCTGGGTAAAATACTAACAGCTTCATCGATTCATTGTTGTCTCCTTTGAAGAAATTGCCACAGCCACCTCAATCTTCAGCAAATACCATCCTGATTAGTCAATAATCATAAAAATTAAGGTGAGACCCTCCACCAGCAAAAATAATAAAGGTTACTAAAGGCTCAGATGATTGCTAGCATTGTTTATCAATAAATCACTTTAAAATTAAGGTATGTACACTGACTTTTAGATGTAATACTGTTGCACATGTAATGAACTAATTTAGTGTAAACATTAACTGTTATAGGCACCAGGAAACCAAAATATTCACTTTATTGAGATTTTTACTGTATTAGAAAAGAATCAGCACTATCTTCATGGTATGCCTAAGTGCTTTGTTTAGGACAGTATTATTCTTAAAACAATAAACTTCACAACATTATAGGTATCTAATAATAAGGACACATATATTTGGGTATTAAAAAGTTCTTATAGGCTGGTTCCCTGGCCTGGCAACTTAAGCCCCAGACTTACAGTTTGAGCAATACACCAGGCATGTGTGCATGTGCGCCCAAATCACAAAAGAAGGGAGAGATAGAGAAGGGATTTTGGTATGACTATTACCTAATTGGGGAGGAAATGCTCTCTCTCTCTCCTCTCTCTCTGGCAAGTGCATGCATATGCTAGGGGAAAAAAGTTCTTCCATAAATTCTATAACATTTAAATTTACATGTGATTTACCAGATACAAATACATAGTTTCCCAACACTTATATACCCAGTATAGAACTATAATAAATTTAATTCCCAAATATGCTAAACATGGATAGTTTCCAAAAAATGTATAAACCATCAGAATACTAAATCTATTAATCTAAATGTAATCTAATATTCCTCCATCTGTTGAAAGTAATCAGGTTTGAGTTGGCCCTGTGATCTAGCAGTTAAGGGAATTCAATCACACATAGATGACCAGTTTGAATTCTCGCTTAGAAGCTTAAAAAAAAAATACCAAGCATGTCTGAGTACATGTGTGTTCCAATTCCCAACAGGATGGATAAATGAAGGAAAGGAGCTGCAGTGTGACCATACCACACTGGGGTATCCCTGCCCCACCCCTGCACCCCATCTCTCTGGCAAGCTCACACACCCCTGGGCAATTTTTAAAGAGGTGGCAGGCAAGAGACCTCAGAAGTCCTTCATGTTAAATTTACTACTCCCCATTATCTCCCTTCTACATTCCTCATAGTGACATCCAGACCTTTCAAACTCATCCTTTTTTAGCCCAACCTGTTAGTACGAAGGGAGGACTACCTCTTTCGGATCCAACAGAAGAATGATAAAGATCTGACCACATTTTGATCCTGAGCCTTCTCTCTAGCTATAAACTTATGCCAGAAATGAATCATATGACACAAAGTTTACCTGCTACCAGGCAGCAGAAAGGGAGAAACCACTCAATTAGCAAAGTTAATATAATCCATTACTGCGCCTGTTTAGCAGTTTCATAATTTCTTCAAAGTAAAACAGGGAGAGAGAGAGGGAGAGAGCATTCCCCATGTTGGGCATGGTCATCCTGCAATCCCTTATTCCTCCTCCATTTCCCCATCCTGTCAGGAACCTGGGCATGTACATATATGTGCTGGGCTTGTTTTCAAGCGACCAGGACCAGGATTAGAACTGCGGTCAGCCTTAGGGACTGGCTCACCTACCACTTGGCTATGGAACCAACCTAAGGAGTATCATAATTTGCTATTCATACAGCAGTCAATTTCCTATAAATTTAAAGTAATGAGGAATTCTAGGGTTTAAAATGTATTGCTTCACAGACAGACAGACACACACACACACAAACACACACAAACACACAGGCTTCATTGCAACATCCATCCCCAGCCAGCCAGGCTCATGAGCATTCACACATGTACCCAACATCACAGGGAGACCTTGGGATGTGGGCACAGCACTGCTAACATGGCTTCAGCACCACGGAGAGCTGTGTTCCTGATTCACCACCACAGTTGTCCAGGGATGTTTAGTTTTAGCACAAGAATTTGTCAAAATCCAAACGTGTATACTTTAATCTTCAGACATTTCAAAAAAATATTGATCCCAGAGTTGGGAGTGGTAGTGAGGGCCTAAAATATACACTCCAACTCCTTAAATAACATGAGGCTTTAAGCAAACTAAAATACAAACCTGTATTGGTGGAATATCTGGCAGCGAAGGAAGGTTTTCCGGATTGGTAACAGAGGGGATTAGCTCTATTGCTGTAACAGAAGGGCTGGTGGGACCTCGGTTGGCATTTGCCATTGTTGCTGTAGTAGGACTCGTTGGGTTAATTGTGGTGTTGTGTACCGATACAACAGGAAAGGGTCCAGCATGCCCTGGATTTGAGTGCTGTTAAAAAAGAAAATATTATCATTACTTTATCTGCCAAGATATCCTAATGTGAACCATAATCCTTTCAAAATGTTTTAGTTTAAGAAAAATACATAAATGGTTAATATCTATAGCTAAGAAACAAAAAATAGGCCCTTTCAAATTTATGCAAGGACGAACTAGCTCAAACTTGGCCTATTCATTTTTGTGAACTATCTTGGGAAAAATAGACTTTCTAATAATTAACCTGTCAGCCTGATACTATGATCTTATTTCTGAACAAGGATATAAATAATCTGGAGGCCTCTAAGCTTCCAAACAACAGGCTAAGACAGCCACTGTTCTGTCTATATTTCTTTTTAATCCTCTAGTCTTTTTATAATAAAAATAATTATATAACCCTGCTTGATATGATTAGAGGAACAATGGATTTAAAGAAAGAAAATATGGGGCCAGCAGTTGACATGGTGGTTAAGAGACTAGATTCCACTTAGCCAACTCCATGGTTCCAGTCCCAGGCCTGGCGGCTTGAAAATACTGGGTGCACGTGCATGCTTAAAATCCTAAGGGGAGAATGGAGGAGAAGGAATTGCAACGTGACCATCTCCCAGGGAGTGAGTTCTCATTTTCTCTCTCCCTTTGAGTCTCTTCAGCAAGTGCGTATGCCCTATGACAAAAAAAAAAAAAATTAATAAATATATATGTGTGTGTATGTATGTGTGTGTGTGTGTATATAAAATAAAATATGACATCAATTCCTGACTCTAGTACTATGTGACCTTAGGTGAGTCAAAAATCTTGGTAATTTAGAAATGTAGATAATGATATCTCACCTGTTTTGATCAGGAGGACTGTTATGAAGATCATTTAAAGATAGTACAGGTGAAAATACTTGGGAAATAAATTATTACACACATGTAAATAAGTAATTTGAAATATTTAAAAGTTAAAAATGCTGATATTCCATGATTTCTATAGGAGCAGCCCCCAAAACTAAGAACAATGTTCTGAGATAGCTGATGAGTCTTACTCTACACTTCCACTCTTTGAACTGCTGTTCCTAGCCCCATAAAGGCTTTCCATAAACTACAGGATACATGAATATGAGAACAGTTTTAAGGAAAGTAATGCCCTCAACCTTTCTATATACTCTTCTCTTTTAAAGTGTGATTTGCCTGGGACCAGCATGTGACATAATGGCTATGTTGCTGGACTCCCATGTAGTCGACCACGGTTCTATTCTTGGACCCAGTGGCTTGAACTCACGCCAGGCGCATGTGGGTGTGTGCTCAAGATCCTGAGAGGAGAACGGAAGAAAAGGGATTAAGGCGTGGCCATCCCCCCAGGAGGTGATTTCTCACTTTTTGTCTCTCTGTCTCTGTCTTTCTGGCAAGCACACGCACCCTATAGCAAAAACCTCTCCAAAAAAAAAAAAATCTGATTTGCCTAATATGCTGTGCTCTGAAGTCTCCTTTTCCACTATTTCTTTCACAACTGCTTTACTCTGACTTGACAAAATAACAAGACATTTCTAACACATCCTAATCTTATTCTAAGCACACTGCCCTAGGATGAAAAATCCCTGCCAATATAATCAAAGGTACAATAGGAAATAAAGGTATAGGGTGTCAAGAAATGACTGGCTTCAAAATCTGGGTAACAAATCTTGAAATAGTTTCTAGTATTTGATGATCAACCAAAATGAAGATCTGGGGCCAGTCTTTGGTGTAGTGGTAATGGCAGCTGAGTGATTGCACGGTTTGAGTTTGAAAAATGTACCAGTGTGAGATTTCACCTTTCTTTCCCCCAGATCTAGGCAGGACAAGCCAATCACCAGCCATCTATATCTGAGTTCTGAGTGGCTCCTTTTAGGGATAGGACAACTGAAGATCTTCTGTCCAGACTTCACCCTCCTGCCCCCCAGATCTAACCAGGAAAAAAATGTATAATCTATCAGATGACCAGAAACCACTGCAGAGACACAAGAAATATGAGAAACCAAGAAAGTATCTCTTCCCTAAGGGAAAAGAATAACTCTTCATCCTCCACAGACAATACAAGAGAACTCATGGAAATTTCAGACAAAGAATTTGAAATATTCATAGTGACAAAGCTTTTTAAAAGGGATGCAAGAGAAGAGAGACAACTAACTCTAGAAGTTACAGGAGAAAAGAGACACTAAGTTCCAGAAGGTGAGGAAGTTCTTGCATGATCTGAAAGGAGATAGCCACCATAAAAAAGAATTAAACGGAATGGTTAGGAATGAAGGCTGTAACATAGGAAATCAAAACCTCCCTTGAAAGTATTCAAAGCAGATTAGATCATGCAGAAGATCAAATCTCGAATGTTGAAGACAAAACTTCTGACCTAGAAAAATTCACCAAAAAGACTCAGAAAATCCCCCCAAAGTAAGATTAATATATGATTAATATTAAATACCATTAATGCCCAAACATCTGGATAATCGGTATCCCTGAAGGTGAAGAAACTAATAAGGGGATTGATAATCTATTCCATGAAATACTAGAAGAAGCCTTTCCAAACCTAGAGAGGCACTCAAATATCCAGACCTAAGAAATACAAAGGACCCCACATAGAATCAACCCAAGAAGATCTTCTGCAGGCCACATCATACTCAGATTGATCAAAACCAGACAGAGACAAGATACTAAAATTGTCAAGTTACTTTCAAAGGATGTCCCGTCAGGCTAATACCAGACCTCTCATCAGAAACAATCCAAGCAAGGAAAGAGTTGGGAAAATATATTCAAAATGTTAAGTGAAAAAACAATTTCAACTAAGACTACCATACCCAGCAGGGCTATCCTCCACATGGGAAAAACATAAAAACATTCTCAGATAGACAAAACCTGAATTTACCAACACCGGACCAGTTCTCTAAGAAGTGCTGTAGGGAATACTATACCAGGAAAACTAAAGTTGGACACAGAGAAATAAGAGTACAAAAAACAACCAAGAAGGACAAGTCCGGAGTTGAATGTTAACTTACTTTAAATAGAAAGATCAGACCACAGTAACACAGCAAATTCAATAGAAGAGAGATTAATTACATGAGACTGAACTGGTGAAACAGAATTTTATGACTTTTGACTAAAGTATTACTGATTTTCCTCTATGCTTTGTTTTCCAGATTTAAGAATTTTTGTCTTCTTTTAACCTGCTGATAGTTTCATCTACCTACTGCTTAAAGTGAATCATAACCATTTTCCTGACTTTAAGTCTTAAGAAAATTTCTCTTAACATTTTTAAATTTTGATCTATTAAAACTAAAACTTTTTTCTTGAAATTAAAAAAAGTGTGATCAATACAATGTGGGGGAAAAGGAATGGAAGAAAACTGTAGACACCAGAGACAGTATGAGAAGAAGATGGGAAAGGACAGAGGGTCAGAAATAGGGGTAAAAAATAAATAAATAAAAATAAATATATATATAACTAGAAATGGAAAATGTGTGTGTGTATAAAAAACTAGAAATGGAAAATTTTTTACAGTAACAAGAATGATTAAGCCACTATGCAATATATTCTGGATGGGAAATGACATTTCGCATGCTGTGATGATGCTTAGGGAATGAATGTAAATTAGGTTTTAAAAAAAGTTTCAGGAAAAAATAAACCCTAAAACTGTTTTTCTTTAAACTGGGGAAAAAAAAAAAAGAAAAAAAAAGCATTAAAAATACCTATTTCATGACTACAGTAAGATATATAGCCCCAGCTAGGTGCTACTTTATAGGATGTTCATTCTACTCACTGAGGTTTATGCCTAAAGCCAGACTTGTGTTCATGGATATGTATATATCAGCTGTGCTGCTATTCAAAATATTTAGATTAATTAAGATCTTTAGTGAATCAATAAAATGTGTGTGTCTGGGGGGGGCATAGAAAGCAACCATAGATACCAGAGACAGTATGGGAGGAGGGTGGGAGATGGCAGAGGGTGAGAGATAGGGAATCGAGGATGGGAAAAAAAAGCAAAATGCACAAGAAACAAGAAATGGAAAGTTATTTGTTGACGATAATACATATGTTTATGTGCTTGACTGAACCAATATACAGTGTATTCTGGATGGAAAAATCTCATTTTGTATGCTGTAATCATGTAAAGTGAATAAATGTAAATAAATAAATAAATAATTTTTTAAAAAAGTGGCAAGCAGGCCTATCGTTACAGCATCATTGCCTTTTCAGCTTTGGTGGCTGGATGGTGTTTGATAATAGTATTACAATGCTGCAAGATTCAATAGACTGGGGTTAATGCGAGCTGATACAATATATGAGAATGAAGAAGTGAAGGAAGCCATAAGGAGACTTCCTGAGAACCTTTATAATGACAGGTTGTTTCACATTAAGAGAGCCCTGGACCTGACCATGAGGCAGCAGACCTTGCCTAAAGAGCAGTGGACAAAATAGGAGGATAATTTCTACCTTGAACCATATCTGAAAGAGGTTATTCGAGAAAGAAGAGAGAAGAGTGGGCAAAGAAGTAACTAGGCTGCAAGTGTGGATACTGTTGTCTTTAAAGTATTTTTATGAAGTTGGTCGAGCCTGAAACATTAAATTTAAAAATTTTAAAAAAATGCATTAAATAAAAATACCTATTTAATGACTGCAGTAAGCTATATAGCCCCAGCTAGGTATGTTCACTTTACTCATTGAGGTTTACGCTTAAAATCAGACATGTGTTTACAGATATGTATGTATCAGCTGTGCTTGCTATTGAAAGCTTTTAGATAATTAAGATCTTTAGTGAATCAATAAAATGTTAAAACCAAAGGGGGGGCATGGAAAACAACTGTAGATACCAGAGATAGTGTGGGAGGAAGGTGGGATATGGAAATGGAAAATCAATTGTTGACAATAACATGTACGGTAATATCCTTGACTGAACCAATATATACAGTGTATTCTGGATAGAAAATCTCATTTTGTAATGATGTACAGTGAATGAAAGTAAATAAATAAAATAAAATAAAAAAAAGAAAAACCAAAACAAAAAAAGTGCGTACGTGTGCATGCTTGCCCACCCAAAATCCCCAAAAGAGAAATGGAGGAGGGCATGTAGTGTGACCATTCCCCATTTCTCATTCCTCCCACCCCCGCTGTGCCCCCATCTGTCTCTCTAGCAAGAGCGCATGTCTTCTGGCAACATTTAAAAAAATAAAGGCCTATTATGCTGTCACCAATACAGAGAATTTTCAAATAGTTTTAATAGGTCATTGTGAGTTTCTACAAAAATCTAGAAAAAGTTAGGATTTGAGGAATATTAATATAATAAAATGCTTTAAATTTCCAAATATATATTTTTGTTAACAAGTTTCCTAAGCACAGTATAAAAGCAGGAACCAAAAAACTACTCATAAAAATCACTGTTGAATTCTGACTTACTCTAAGTTGATAGATAGTACATAAACATAGGATGGAGTAAAAAGTCTCCACTATCAGGGTCAGTAGGTGGTGCAGGGGTCAAGAAGGCTAGATTTCACAAGGCTGATTAAATCTGTAGTTCAAGTCTTAGACTCAGCACCTTAAAGAACACTCCAGGTATGTGTACGTGCTTGTCCAAAATCCTGAGAGGAGAACAGAGAAGGGACTGCAGTGTCGCCATCACCCCCAGGGGTGCTTTCTCTCTCTCTCACTCTCTCTCCAGAAAGCGCACATGCCCTATAGCAAACTTAAAAAAAAAAGGAAAAAAAAAAAAAAAAGCTTGGCAGGCAATAATGCAGATTCTCTTAATAACTGCAAGTAAATCACAAGTGCCTTAGGTTTATTTTTCACTTCTATAAACTGAATGGATTGGACTACACCAGGGTTAACCCACGATACACAATATGTTTAAAGAGATCCAAGAGCTCTTAAAATTGGAAACAAAATTTCAGGTGTATGTGTATTTTTCTGAGACAAGAGGATATGCAGCATTAGTCAAATTATTAAACATACCATGTCCCACCCCCACAAACCGATTAACAAAAACAGTGTCTTAGTTTTAAAATTATATGATTCTTACAAATGTAACTCTAGGCATACTTGTCTTTGGAGGTGTGGCTGCATCATGGAATATTGAGGGCCGCTGTGCCTGGGGATCCCTGGTATCCTGGTAGCATTCTGAGCCAGTCTCATTTGATGGGCTTGAAAAGCTCCACAATTCATGTTGCCTCTTTGCATTGTCTGTACACTGATCAATCTTGGAGGCTATAAAAAGTAGAGATTGCAATTTATATAGCAATGCTTTTATTATAAAGTTATTAGTTGATAGTATGTACATCCAGTTAGTACAAAGCATTTAAAGTAACGAGTCAAGTTATTCTCATTTTTAGCCCAGACTCCAGTTTGGGTAATTACTACAAAGAGTTTGTATATCACTCCCAAATTCCTTAATGTGTGTGTGTGTGTGTGTGTGTGTGTGTGTGTGTTTAAAACATATCAACACAACTTAACCACACTCAGGAGTAATGGTTTTGGCTGAAACAGAGAGAGAGAGTAGGAGAGACAAAGGAATGAGAGTGACTTCAACAAATCTCTAAAGAATGTATTAGTTGTTAGACAGAAACAACCTGTTTCTTTGGCCCATGACCTTTTGTGGAAAACCAAAAAAACCTCGGGTATAGAGAGATGAGAACTTGTACTTCCGGCGTATTAGTGAGTTAATTTCATTCCTCATGATAATTTACTTACTTACTGGCTTCCTTCACAACTCTCATACATTCCCATCATAATCAGAGTGAAAATTTAATTATAGCCTGTGAGCTCTGATTCTGCTAGTAATTTTGAAATGCATACTCACCTACACAGGATAAAGAACAGTCTTGAGGTCTCCACAGTTTCTATCAATAATGTAGTGGCATATTACTCACCTGCTGTTGTAACATCTGAGGGGCTGCTTGTCTAGGATGCTGCTGTGTTGTTGTCGTTGTAGTTGGTACAGGTGCTGGTGGCTGCTGCATCCTCATCTGTTGCAACTGCTGATGTTTCTGTGCATACACTTGTTGTTGCATGTGCTGGAGTCGAAGCTGTGCTAAGTTAATCTGTCCAGGGGTTTTACTAATGTGGTTTGTCCCTGGAGGAACTTGCCCAACTACAACATTAGGAGTATAACCAGGAGCTGGTTTACTCTCTATTACTAGATTACCTGAAGGATTAAAAAAACGAAAAGAATTTGCATATAATCAACTAAATCAACTATTTGCAGATTACTCTATTTTCCTCTTTCCTCTGACAATATCACTACCTCAAAGCTTCCAACAGTACAGAATGTGTGGGAGCTAGGTTTAAAGATCATGATGATCAGAACATAACAGATTCCAAAGCCAAATAAATGACTTTTAATTTTTCAGAATATATTTTCTGCCCTTATGTTTTATTTACAAAGATGTATAGAAAATTAAAGAATCTTGGGCTGGCAGGTGGCGTGGTGAGATAAAATTCAATAAAATGGTTCTTTACCAAAAGAAAGAAAGAGAAAGAGAGAGAGAGAGGGAGGGAGGGAGGGAGGGAGAGAGGAAGGGAGGAAGAAAATTGAAGACCTAGAAGAGACATTATTAGAGGAAGTCCATCTAGTCTGTCTAAATTCTCCATGACAGGACTCGAGCATGCAGGAGGCTGCTGATACTAGTTTCATCTGCCTTTGAATATGACAAAATGTGCAGGACAGAGTATATATTACTACAAAACTGTCATCTGTGGAAACAGTGAATACTTTAAACCACTTATGTTTTCAGAAGTAACCATCTCTCTTGCTTTTCACAGAGCCATGCTTTCTAGGGACAGGGCAAATTGTATTAGGAAGGTGTGCATATATATGGCAGAGGTTGGCAGGCTTTTCCTGTAATGGGCCAGATAGTATATATTTTAGGTTTGGCAGGTCACATAAGATCTGCCAGATACTCTCTGGATCTTGTTTGTTTTTACAAACCTTTGAAGTGTAGAAAGCAGTGCTGGTTATGGTGTCACACAAAAAGGTTCCTAATGCTAGATCTAAGGCTACAGTGAAATACTGAATACTGTAATTTTTTTCCTTTTATTCAAAATTCTTTTTTTTTTTTTTTTGAACAGAAGACTATTCTGCCTCTGCTTTTACACCTCCCAAAGTTTAGGATTTAACTATTTTGAAAGTAAGTTTACCAATCTGTAGGCAGTTGTTGAGAAGATTTTTGGTTTTTGGGGGGTTTATTTTTTGAGTTATTTGTCTATCTCTCTGAAATTTTCACCTATGGTCTTTAGGTTCACCCTGTAGAATAATAAAAGTAAAGTCCGTTTCTCTTCCATATTTAAAGAGCTTCTCTTTAAACTTTCAAACTCTTTAAATCTTTCAAACATTCCTCAGGATCTGACTACCAGGCATACCAGCAACCTGCAGGCCTCTTCTAAATGCATGGTTTGAAATAATTAAGCTACTAAGCACCTAAGCAATTCTTCCAGCAAACGAACAACCATTTGCTAAAACTTCTATATGAAAGTGTCGATATCAATTTAAAAAGATACAGGAGGAAGTTAGAAATGGTACATAATAAAACACTACAAAAAGTAGACTCAAAATTCTAAGGATATAATGACAGAGGAATAGAAAAGCCATAGCTAGTGAGTTGTTTGGAACAAATGACATACGTTAAGGTATTTTTAAAAAAACTTTGTCTAAAATGTGCACTAGATGGTTTCTCCTCCTAATGCTCTGTTCCAAGTTATAATCATAAAACTAAGTATTTCTCACCTAAGTTGACTACATTCTTTGCCCAGAAGGTGGGATCACAATGGAAACGTATTGCACCATTAGCAGCAGGGACAGGGTCACATCGTGCTTTCAAAATATGACGCAGCTGAAAAGTAATCTTGAGGGAAAAAATTCACATTAGTCTTAAAATTAAATACTAACTGTGAAAACATACAAGAAAAAGACATTTAAAACATTTATTTAAGCCCCAGTGTCAGTCTTGGATGAGACAGTAGTAATATTAAGCAAACAAAACAAATACATATGCTTGAATTTCTGCCGTTTCTGATAATAAACTGCATTGAGATGCTAGGTATCTTTGAAAAAGCACATCCTATATGATTTTAGTTATATAAAAATTCTAGAAAATACACTTCAGATTAGTAGTTATCTAGGCCAGAGGTAAAAGAGAACAAGAGAACTTGGGAATGGGGGTGGCAGAAATTTTCTGTATCTTAATGAGATGGTTACATTTGCCAAAAGTCAAATTTAAACTTTAAACAGGTTCAGTTCACCGAATATAAATAATATCTTATTAAAGCCAACGAGAAGATACTATGCGCCTCACCAGTCGCTTGCTGTACAGTAGCGCCGTGCTGCTGCCGCTGGCAATGGCCCAGTTTGTAAAGTTCATAACGTGCTTCACCTGCCGGGAGAGGCCTGTGATATCGTTCTGCTGCTGCAGTAACTTCATCTGTCTTTCCTTTGTAACATTCTGAAACAGAACAAGAGCTTCATTGAAGAATTTTCTATGAAAAACAATCAGCTACAAATTTCTATCACAAAAGGACACATTTTCGTTATTTCCTTTTACCCATCATTTAATGCACTTATGAATGATTAGAGGAAAAGGCACCAAGAGAAGTGGGACTAAAACTTAGTTCTCTAAACTAAAAGGGGATTCTACATACAGAAATTAATGTGAGTTGATGTCTCTTTACTTTCGGCACATAAAACGTCTGTTAAAAATGTCTATCAGGTTAATCCAGTAGACAGAGTTTATGGCATAATGAGCTATCCTTTAGTAATAATTTCATATATTGTTAACTCATTACATATATCAAATAAAGGAAAATATTGTGTCACCAGTGCCACCTACTGGTGTGGCATGAGGCTAAAGTTAAAAATCTCTTCTCAAACACCTAAGACAAATGGAAAAGAAAAATCTCAAGACTCTAAGGGAGCTCTTTGATATGATAAACATTCACAAAAAACAAAGGAGTAAGGACAGACCTAAGTGGGAAAAAAAAAAAACCACACACACTTTCAGGAAAATGCTGCAAAGAAAAATGCTTTACAAGCACCAAACTCCCAAAAGAAATGGATAATGTCCTCTATACTAACACATGCAACATCCCAAATGACTGATCTACTTTTCTCTTGACCACTTTCTCTCAAAATGACTCAACATGGTTTACCAGACAATATTTTGCCTAAGGAAGCAAGCTGTTCATTTTCTAATATAATCAATGAACAGCAGTCAGCTGACAGAAATGTGAACATTAATAAATATCAGCCTTGTTGTGAACCTTAGGAAAACATCTCTCTCACAAAGTTTAGGAACATATGACAGCAGAAAATATCTGTATTAAGCTGTCATCATGTTAGGAGTAAGTGGCACATCTGTCATTAGGTACTTACATACACTTTAAACTTAAGAGACATCTTTTAATTCAGAATGTCTTAAAGTATTCTTACAAATGTAAGTTTAAACATATGGCTAAAATGTGTAGCAAGTTAAAAATGTATCAAAAATTGTTATGGTTGGGAACCAGCAGTTAGCATAATGGCTATGTCGCTGGACTCCCACATAGCCAACCGCGGTTCGCGTCCTGGACACGGTCGGTGGCTTAAAACTCACACTGGGTGCGTGTGCGTGCGTGCCCAAGATCCCGAGAGGAGAATGGAGGAGAAGGGATTGCAGCGTGACCATGCCCCCTGGGGGGGGGTGATTTCTCGCTTTCTGTCTCTATGTCTCTCTCTGTCTGGCGAGCGCACAGGCCCTATAGCGAAAATCTCTCCAAAAAAGAAAATTGTTATGGTTAAGTACTCTCCATTTACACTATCCTTTTGTGGGAAAAAAAAATCTATCAGGGTTAAACACAACTACTGAATGTACAACAGGAAAGAGACTTCCAGCTTTAACAATATGTGCAGTAATACCTTTCAGCTTACAATCGTTTCAATGGAAAGATGTGTTTCAAAAGATAGAAATTCACATGTAGCATTCTTCTGACATAATTTTTTTATTTGTAACTACGTGTCTAATATTTTTAAAAGATTGTATGGAAAAATGGAACAGAAAAATCTACTATGGACAATTGGTGGCTAATAGAAGTTAAATATTCAAATATTCATATAATTTAAATTACTACTAATCAATAGTACTACACAGAATACAACCCCTTACAATCTGAGCTTACGCAAGAGCACAAAATTTTCAAATAGGGAACATTTCTTTTTTAAAATACTCAACTGCTAAGAAAATTCGCAATTGAAATTTGCTGAGAACACATCAACTATGGCCTTAGACTTAAGTCTATGATCAAAAATTAATTTGAATTTCACTATCTAGATTCTCATTTAGAAAATTTTTATCTCGGAAACCAGCAGTTAGCGTAATGGCTATGTCACTGGACTCCCACGTAGTCGACCGTGGTTCACGTCCCGGACCCGGTGGCTTAAAACTCACGCCGGGCACGTGTGCGTACGTGCCCAAGATCCCGAGAGGAGAATGGAGGAGAAGGGATTGCGGCGTGACCATCCCCCCTGGAGGGTGATTTCTCACTTTCTGTCTCTATGTCTCTCTCTGTCTGTCTGGCGAGCGCACGCGCCCTATAGCGAAAAAACCTCTCCAAAAAAAAAAAAAATTTTTATATATTAATCTCAAAATACATGATATAAAGACCTAATACCATAAAATTATAAACAAGTTTAAGGTTTATAAACTTCAAAATGAATGTTTTTAGCAAAACTATGAAACTATTTTAAAAATAAGGTAAAACACACAAATGATTTAAGCAGAAGTTATATGAATTTATATGGAGAAGTTAACTTGAGGTCCCAATCTGGAAAAAGAAACCCGCTTTGTCTTCATTTACAAAGCATTTTAGTAAAAATCATTTCTTTCTTAGAGAACATCACTATGTCCTAATGTATACACCTAAAGTTGAGTTTATACACTGAGTTGCAAAGGAACTAATTAGGAAAAAAAAAGCATCTTTTCCCATAGAAAACAGGAGGAAAATTCATTTATTATTTTACCTTATGCCATAACCCCAACCCATCTAAAAGAGCTTTCAATAAACACTAATAGCTAAAAAAAAATAAAAATAAAAAATAAAATAAAATAAAATAAAATAAACATTAAAAGCTGAAGGCAAGAGAAGCAGTTTTTGTTTTATTTTGGCTTTGAACCATACCTCTAGCTGCTGTAAGAGAGATTTTCCTTTTTTATTAATTTCATTGATAAGGGTGAAAATGGCCACTTTAATTTCCTGTTCTACTCGTTTGTTAGTTTCATTTACTTCTTTTATCCTGAATAAGAGAAATGCATCATTAGGTTATCAACTAATTTACATGTCTCTGAATCATCAACTGTTAAAGAATTCATCAAACTTGGGCACTTAACCGGAAAACTATAATTGGAACTTCATCAAAATGTACAACTTTATGTTTCAGCAGACCTGACAGCTTGATTCAATCCAAACGAGTTATGTATAAAGACAAAGAATGGATTTAGTATTTACTAATTTTAAATTAAGTTCATAAAGGCCAGTGAGTGAGCTGGATAGCAACCTCCCTAAGTCTCTATATTACGAATGTGATATACAAACAACTGTCAAATCTGGTACACTGACCTTAATGCTTTCTAAGAACAGTCTGTAAAAAAGAACAATGTAGCAACCAGTAAGTGTTTTTAAAAGGGTTAAGAGTTAAACATGGAAGCATTTATTTTTCCATATAATTTAAACACTTCAAATCTGGATTCTGATATACTACTTCCACAACTGCATCTCAAAATGATTTTTTTTTAATTGTATAAAGGGCATAAAACATTTTCAATCTACTTCTCTTGCTCTGTTTTTGTTTTCGTTTTTGCTGAGAGCATGTATGCTCACAGACAGACAGAGGAGGAAAGGATAAAGTATTCCTTAGGGGAATGTCATGATGCAATCCCTTCTCCATCTCCCTCTCCTTTTGGGATTTGGGGCAAGCAGGTGCTGGCATGTTTCTCAAGCTGCCAGGTGTGGGACTGTGTGGTTGGCCACCTAGGATTCAGCTACCCCAACTACCATGCCACAGAGCCTGTCCTTCAATCCAAAAGCTGTTAGGTACTTCAGAAACAGGTGAAAGCACCTGCTATGGTTGAAAATTTGATTGCAAATATGAAATACCTTGGTGTTTATAAAGTAGGAAGAATCCAATATAAATACCAATATAAATACATAAAATGTCAACAATCATATGAAGCAGCTTTTAAATTTTATACATTCTACTTCTGTACTATGACCCACAATTTCAGCCCCTTAAACTGCCTTTCATTTGACAAAATCAAATTTGATAACTTTAATACATTCTAAGCAACAGTAATATAATTTTTTTCATCCTCTGTCCATACGTCACTACTTGTTTGACCACTTATCTAAAATTTTTAGTGAATTCTGTACTTACCTTATTAAAGTCAGTGGAAGACATTTTTTAAAGACAAAAATAGTAGCAACGAGGCTGGCCCCAAAGCCCAGTGGTTAAGAGAGCCAAATCCTACATGGTTGACTATAGCTCAAGTCTCAGCCCTCGAGGCTTGAAAAACACTCCAGGAACATGTGCATACGTGCCCCAAATCCCAACAGGATGGAGAAATAGAGAAGGGATTGTGGCATGACCAGGTCCCATTGAGGGGATGTTTCTTCTTCCCTTTCTTTCTCAAGCATGCACCCTCTGACAATTAAAAAAAAAAAAAAAAAAAAAGGTACTAGAAATAAATATAGGTCTCAAATGTAAAATGACTGAGTCAAAGATGGGAATCATTACGCATGCTGAGAGCACAGGATTAATTATATAATGTATAATTATACATTATACATCCAATTGTGCAGGAAGAAAAAATGTCTACTAAAAAATATGGAGATAAGTCATTGAAAAACATGTCTAAAAAAGGAAGTAACCATTGGTGATTTTAATACTTTTTTTAAGCTTCTTGGAAATGAAATCCTTAACCTCCCGAAAGCTTTGCAATTCCTAAACAGGTGAACTTTGTTCTACTTCTGTAAACAGATTCAGGAAAATATGTACAAAACATATAGAAAAATACAGTGTGTATACAAAACATGTAAAAACATGGAACTATCAGTGAATTAACTCATTTTAATTCCTCTGAAAGGGACATCCATTTATGATTTTTGAGAAGATATAGTTATCACCTCCAGCATCAACCACATCAGACCCACAGTTTAGCTTAAAACATCCTGATATTTCTAAAACCACAAACCATTAAACACCAGTGTGTGTTTGTATAGATTATCCACAACCATTTAGGAGCCTTTTATTCTCTTTCAGTATTGCTTCTTTAAAAAAAATGCATCTATTTGCAATTTTCAAGCTACTGGGTCTAGGTCTCAAACCACAGCCATCTGGGAATCCAGTACCCCAACTACCATGCCACCTGCTGGCCCTTGGTCTCACTTCTTAAAATGAGAAGCTCCACATGTGTAGCACTATTATTATTCATCTAGCCAACTATTTAATTTTTTTTTCCTTTGGAGAGGTTTTTTTTGCTATAGGGCACGTGCACTCACCTGACAGAGAGAGACAGAGAGACAGAAAGCGAGAAATCACCCCCCAGGGGGGATGGCCAAGCCACAATCCTTTCTCCTTCGTTCTCCTCTCAGGATCTTGGGCATGCACGCACACGTGCCCGGCATGAGTTTTAAACCACCGGGTCCAGGACGCGAACCGCAGTCGACTACATGAGAGTCCAGCAACATAGCCATTATGCTAACTGCTGGTCCCCCCAACTATTTAAACTTTTAAAGTATGTAATATGTGCCATTTTAATCAACATAAATTAATGAGTTTTAATATTTGAGAAAAATATCAGTATTTGTGCATCTATAAACTAAGCACACATTAACCCTATTCCTACCCTAAATCTGCAGGTCTTAATTATGCCAGTTCCAAGTGTGTTTTTCTAGAAGAGTTCCAACTTTGTTAATCCCCTCTTTTATGAAAATTACTCCCACTTTCCTTATCAATAAATTTAGTTTACTTACAAATGTATCAAAGTAGAATAATTTTTAAATAATAATAATAATGATCACAGTAATGCTAAGGATAATAATACCCGCCAAATCTGGGCATTTAATATGTGCCAGAAACTGTACTATGTATTCATCTTATAATGCTACCAGTAAGAGAAGTTACGGTTTTCATGCTTGTTTTACAAATGGGGAATAAATGAGTCCACTACTCAGGAAACTCTCTCCTATATATTTTATCTTCCATACAGTCTCTATCATAAATTTTATAATTTAACTCTCCATATTAATTTCTTATTACAAGTTTAAGACTTATACAGATTATAATCTTATGAATTATAAAATAGTCAAAGATTTATTCTAAAAGAATATACTAAAGTTTGGTCAATTAAATTTTGCTTAACAAATATTATAATCCCAAACTCTAACTATACTCTTGCTCCCTCAAAAAAATAATATTGGGCCAGCTAGTAGAAAGGTAGTTATGATGGCTGGATGCCACATGGCTGACTTCATAGCTGGAGTTCCAGATCCAGTGGCTTGAGAAACATGCTGGGAACATATGTATATGTGCTCAAAATCCCAAAAGAAGATATGGAGAAGAGATTGTGGCAGGTCATTCCCCAGTGGGGGGTTACTTTCTCACTGCTCCCCATCCATGATCATGTCTCTCTGGTGAGCACACAGCACTCTCTGGTAAAATTTAAAATAATAATGATGTTTACTGTATATGCTTAACATAACATAAAAAGTTAAACTGATCTACTTCTTTTTAATAATCCTTAAAGCAAAATTCTTGTTTTAAGGCAACACACTTACCTATTCTGCACCTGAGTAGCTGCAAAATGAACATAATTCTTCTTTTCAAGAAGCTTAGCTAGTAGATTCTCAATTGCACCTTTCTGATTTTGAAATGCTTCTTCCAAAAACTGATACCTTAGAACCAAAACAAAAACCATATTTAAAATAGAAAATTTATGATTCAGATTTTGGAAATAAAGAATGACAGCATGAGCCAATCTTGAAACCTTACTTAAATGACCAACTCTCTGTTCTGGCCACTCATACCTAACCTCAACAGTAACTTTTAACTGCCAAACCCCTCCTTTGTGACCCTTTATGAAGCCATTACAAAAGAAACATTATTCAGAAAAAAATTTGATTACTCTTATATTAAAGTTTTGAGTCAGGATTACTTTTTAACCCACATACTGAAATTAAGGATTATATACATTTTAAGTCATAGAATATAACCACATTATGGAAAATACTATCAAACAAGGGGAAACCACGCATATCACAAAATGACTGCTACTAGTGTAATCTATAGTGCCTTACTCTTATACATGTTTTTTAAATACAAGTGTTATCACAGTATATATGCAATTTTACATCTGACTTTTATTCTTTATTTTGTCTTTATAATCACACTTAAAATTATTTTTTCTATTTTAAATGCTGCGTATGCCAAAGGGAAATTTCCAAAAGGGTTTTATCAATGAAAACTATCACCGGGTCAGTTAGTTATGTGGCATGGTGGTTAAGGCAGCCAGAATTCACATTGTAAAGTGCATGCGTTTTGAGTCCCAGATCTGGTGGCTTCACAAATACACTGGCTGTATGTGTGTTTATGCTCAAAATCCCCCCACAGAAGGAAAGATGGAGAAGAAGAGAGTGAGGCATGGTCATTCCCCATTGGGAGTACTTTTTCCTTTTCCTTTCTGTCTGTCTGTCTGTCTGTCTCTCTCCCTCTCTCTGGTGAGTACAAGCAGCCTCTAGTTTAGAAAAAAAAAAAACAACAACAACCAACATCAGTTTTACTATAACATTGTCAACCTAAGTGGTATATGTTAAAATTTTCTGATTATAATAGTGAAAATTTAAAAATTTTTGCTACAGGGTATGTGCACTCACCAGAAAGACAGAGAAGCGAGAAATCACCCACCAGGGGAGATGGCCACACCACAGTTCTTTCTCTTCCATTTTCCTCTCAGGATCGTGGGCATGCACATTCTCACACATGCCCGGCCCGAGTTTTAAGTTTCAGGGTCCAGGACTCAAACAGCAATCAACTACGTGGAAGTCCAGTGATGGACGCCACCTGCTGGTCCCTGAACTTTAAGTCTGTAATTCTTTGGTTATTAGGAAGCTGAAATACAGTTTTCTTTGCTAGTTTTATTTCCATTTGTAAAATATCCAATGTTTGAGCTTCTGCTACATGCTTTTAACATGTGTAAAAAGAACCATTATGTACTGGTTCTTCCCCACCTCCCGAGAGATTTTTGCTATAAGGCGTATGCGCTTGCTGGAGAGACAAAGAGAGACAGAAAGTGAGAAATCAATCCCCAGGGGGGATGGCCATCAATCTCTTCTCCTCCATTCTTCTCTTGGAATTTTGGGCACAAATGCACACACGCTTTGTGTGAATTCAAGCCACTGGGTCTGGGATCCAAACTACAGTAACCAGGTGGGAGTCCAGCACCTTCAACACTATACCTCCTGCTGGCCCCATGTAACAGGTCTTAATCCAGTAACAAATAGGCACACAAATGAAATGACATCACATTGTGACAAGGACTATAATGGAGAAATATATAATTTGCCACAAGAATCCAGTGCTTAAATTGACCTCTTTACTGAGCACATGCAGAGGCATGCTTGGGGTAATACAAAGACTACAATAAGGCCTAAGATATATATGCAAAGGTCACAATATAAGACAATACTGATAAAATCCCCAGGCAGATCATGAAGGAACAGGTTTTATACCATGGTTTTTTATATCTTATTCTTTAATAAGAACCCCTAATATAATCTTGACCAGATTTACATTCTAGAAAAATCATCAGACAGAAATATAAAAGACCTAAAGAAGGTGGCAGTAAAAGACAACTAGTTAGAACTCTAGGATCATAGTGCAGGTGAAATATCAGAGCACATTACTGGTTGATATAAATGAACAAATAGGCTAGAACTGCCTGTGCCAGAGTGATCAGCAGCTATAGTGTCTTGAGAGGTCATATGGCAGTTTTGCCAAGGTCCATGGGACAACCTGAAGCGTGAATGCATAGCTAAGGCAGAGTCAGAAGAAGCTCACTGGAAATGAATTCACAGTACTGACAAAATTATAATCATCTATGTGAACACTGAAATTATGAGAGTAAAGACAGAAAGTGAAATGATGAGGAAGACTGAACATCTAAATGCTAGTGTCTCCAGCTAAGGTAGACAAGAGGAAAGGGGATGAAATTATTAACATAAAGGAAAGTTTGTTAACATAATAGGATGTTTGCTTAGTGGTAGAATTCAAGAAGTAAAGGAAAATGGAGGGCAGCAGAGGGGAATGTGTAGAACATTATGGGGATCTGTGTTACAGAAAGAAAGCAGCTGGCAAGTAGGGTTTTTATTTTGTACACCAATTTGAATATTTTTTTTGAGGGGAGGGGGACAAATTAAACGTAGTAAAATGTGCCATTCTGGGGGCCGGCAGGTGGTGTGGTGGTTAAGGCTGTGGCCTCCTATGGCCGAGTGCAGTTCAATCCCAAACGTGGCAGCTTGCTTTCTCATTTTCCCTCCCTCTCTGGTCAAATTAAAATATAATAGGAATAAATGAAATAAAATAAATAACTCTTAAAGAAACCCACAAATTTACTGAGAAATAGTGCCAGTTTAGGGACCAGCAGATGGCAGAATGGTTGAGGCGCTAGACTCTCACATAGTTGACCGCAATTTAAGTCCCAAACCCAGTGGCTTAAATCTCATGCCAGGTGCAAGAAGAGAATGAAGAAGAAAGGATTGTGGCATGGCCATCCCCCCGACCCCTAGGGGGTTGGTTTCTTGTTTTTTGTCTCTCTCTGGTGAGTGCGCACGCTCTATAGCAAAAATCTCTTTTAAAAAAAAGTGTCAGTTTAATTATTTTTAAGGAGAATATTTTTTAAAGTAAAGCAACTGTCTATAAAGTTAAGCATGTTATAAATTGTATTTGTTATTAAACAAAGGTCAGACCGTGGTACAGCAATAAAACAGAACACTAAGCAAGGCAGACTCACATGGGAAGGATCCCGGTGCAGAGACCTCCCTGAGCATGCTGGGGAATGGCTCCAGATACTTGCTAAAGTTGGGAATGGACATTAGGGTCAAGTCTGGGGGTGCTGTCTCTACCTCTCTCTCTCATTCATGGAAAAAATGAACCTTTTTAAAAAATTATATTATCCAACAGGAATAAAGCATGCAGACATTTTAATTTTAAAGACTTTTCAAGAATTTCTACTGTTAAAGAGGAGACCCAAAGACTTCATTAAAGAGTAACATCTGATTATTCCATATATCATTTTTTCCTAAGTCTAATGAAAATGGTTAAGTCTACTAAAGTGAAAGTACAAGAATTCCACTCTAAGTTTTTTGACTTAATGAATTTTAATTATATTCTAAGTAAGAAAGATCTTTTTCAAGAATAGCTGAACTATGGAAACAATTAGGAAGGCGGCTGGTAGAAAGGTTAAACTATTGGGTCGATGAAGAAGTCACAGCATATTTTTCTATGCACAAGTGCATCACGGCTTTTCCTACAACCCAATAGTATCAAAATTCACAAAATTTTAATTGATAAAATTTGACATTGTACAAATTTCTCTTCTCATCCAAAAATAAGTGTTTCTGAATCCTATTCATCTTTCTGCCCCCAAGTGAATATGGAAGCAAAATACACTATTTTCCGAAATATTTCCTAGGTAAAAATGTGTTTACTTCTCTTACATAAGGGTTGACACCTGAGCTGAATGCTAAAGGATGGATAAGGGCTTTCTAGGACACACAATTTTGGTAGGAAGGTAAGAGCTTTCACTGAAAAAAAAAAAATCTGAATGTATAAAAGTACAGCATTCTGAAACCACCTGTCATTTCAGGGTGAAGCAAAAGATAGCAATGCTAAAAGAATAGGAATGTATCAGATGCTTTAAAAAAAAAAAAAAAAAAAAAACACCCCGCTATACATTAATATTCTGCTGAAGATGAATTCAAATACAGGCTGAACAACCCCAATTTGAAATGCTCTAAAATCCAAAATTCTTGCATGTCAACATGAAATCACAAGTGAAAAATTCTACATCTGACTTCATGTGACTAGTCTCAGTCAAAATATAGCCAAGAGACCAGCAGACAGCCTAATGGTCATGTCACTAGACTCCCACGAAGTCAACCGCAGTTTGAGCCCTGGACCCAGCAGCTTAAAACTCACACCAAGCACATGTGTGTTCGTGCCCAAGATCTCAAGAGGAGAATGGAGAAGGGACTGCAGTGAGGCCATCCTTCTGGGGGGTGATTTCTCACTTTAACCTTATCTCTCCCACAAGCACATGCACCCTATAGCAAAAATCATTTTTAAAAAAAAACAGTCAATATAAAATTACTGAATAAAATTACCTTCAGGCTATGTGTATAGGTATATATAAAACGTAAATAAATGTCACATTTAGACTTGGGTCTTATGCCCAATATATGTCATTATGTATATGCAAATATTCTAAAAACCAAAACCCAAGATACTTCCCAAACATTTCAGATAAGGGACACTCAACCTGTTACTAAATTAGGGTGAACCATCAAGGGATTGACTGAAAGTGATAGATTTGTCTCTGTTCACCTGAATAAACTTCAATTTTAAAATTAGAGAAAAAAAACTGACAAGAGCCTGAAAAACGAAGGCATAATATGAGAGTAGTTTTGATTACAAGCTAATTTTCTTAGCTAATTTTCTAATTTTCTTAGCTAACAGAATAAACTTACACTAAATCTTCTTTGTGTGTATGTGTGTGATTTTTGCTATAAGACACATGCACTTGCCGGAGAGAGAGAAAGAGACAGACAGACAGAGACACAGAAAGCGAGAAATCACCCCCTGGGGGGACGGCTACGCTGCAAATCCCTTCTCTATTCTC